AGGTCACGTGGGACAGGCTGGCTCGCAAGGACATTGATGCGCCGTACACTCCCCCAGTCAAGGCCGGCGCCGGTGATGCCAGCCAGTTTGACAGATACCCCGAGGATCCCGAACGATACGGTTCAGCCGGACATGACGAGTGAGTTCTTCTTGAGATGATGGGACGGGACCTCTACTAACGCTATGCTCTAGATACGGCCATCTTTTTACCGATTTCTAATGTCTCGCCTGAGCAAAAGTTGAGCTGACAGCAAAGGTGTACTCGTGGGCTTAGTCTACGAGCAGTGTTTGAATAGTATATGGTGCCTGGCAGACGCCAGAGTCTCGATAGGGATGTCTGCAGTGCGTTGGGCGCCTGGTCGACGGTTTGGAAAACAAAAAGGTAAGGACAGCAACGAGGGGGGGCATTGGGTTAACGGCTCAAACGGTCCTGGAAAGATGGCAAAGCGCAAGAAGAGCAGACTTGTCACCGTATCACTTGGTTACATCAATACCTAACAACGATTATATTCCAAATGCCTTGGCGGCAGAGCTTCGGGCTTTAAGGTATCGCGGTACCACCCATGGAGGCTGCTGGATGCAATCCTTGGCAAATGAGATGGGCCTACTTTAGACGGAGATGTTCAGGGCGTTGAGGTGGAGATTGGCCAGAACATGTGCAACGGTGCATAAGATTTCTGGTCTTCAAAGGATGACTGTCGTGATGCCTTTCGGGTGAGCAGGAGCTTTGCTGCAGCATCATGCATACATGATCTGCGCATCTGCATTCCCGTTGAATGTGCGTGATGCTGCACTTATCGATGTCAGGTCTAGATGGACGTGTGGATGAGCAGAGCGCCCCGATCTTACGGACATTCTGTGCAGCTCTATGAAATCGCCCACCTCCCCCCACGCTTGGTTGAGCTAAGCGTCCAAACAAGCTCCAATGGGCCCCTTATCCGGGCCTATTAATGCAGAGAGAAACAGCGGTTCGTTCTGGCGGTGACAGAGTGGAGGTGCGGGGATTGTGGCAGGGGCCGCGGGACGAAGTGTCGTCGGGTCGGCTCCATCGCTCAGGGGATCTTAGTGCTAGCCCAGTCCTGATTCTGAATTTTAGAGGGGGGACAAGAGGCTTCAAGCTTTGGTAGGCGATATGAGCAAACCCGCCCGAATCCCCGAAATCCTCCCCTTGCTGACAAGCCTGACATGCGCTGTCAAGCTGTGGCAAGGTGAGCGTATCCAGTGAGCGATTTCACCGGGGGATTGAGGTTGTGGTATCCGTACGGATACTGTTAATTCGACCAATTGCAAGGTGGGTTACTTTGAAGTGCAGATTGTTGCATGGGCCGGACTGGATCTGGCCCCGAAAAGAACCACCGCTCCTACTGCTTTCTCGCTGCAGACATGGTGCAAAGTCACGGGGCTGGGCGCGGCTTATGAAAGGAGCCCGGTCTGGAGCCATGAACTCGACCTACATGAGCCTCCAAACCTCTTTTTTTTTTTTCCTCTTTTCGTCTCCTAGGAGTAGCCTTGCTATTACTTTGCCTTTTCCTCCCTTATCCCGTGGATTAATCGTAACGAAGCTGTGCCCGGGTAACGGCTCAATTGGTTCAAGATGGACGACTACATGTTCCGCGAACATGTCAGCAAGTGCCGCCAAGTCTCGGAAGCAACGCACTATGTCGAGGTTCTCAACTACTCGGTGAGTTTGCTAGTCACGCGCCCAACCAACGATCAGAGAAGAACAGGATGGAGAGCCTCTGGCACGGCTATGTGGTTAATGAGCTAGACTGATACAATTGACAGGATCCTTTCTATAATTCGTGCGAGGAGCACCCTTTGACCATGGATGAGTTTGACAACTTCCTCTATCGCCGGGTAAGGACTGGGACCTTGTAATTATTGCTCACGCTCAGTGAGATTGATGAGAACTGCCATCGACTGATATTGTAACTCTGACAGGGCGCTTTTGAGCCACCGAAGCTAAAAGAGGGTGTCAAATTGCTCAATGGCATTCGGTTGGTGTTCGTAATTCCCCATCTTTCATGCCCAGAGTACAGCTTCGAACTGACCCATCCCAGGCTGCAAAAGAATGCCAAGCACAAGGACACATTTACGCCTCACACCATCTCCTTCACTGCAGATGCATACGAGTCCATGGTCCGGGCTATGCGACTTCCCTTTAGAGCCATCGAGGGCACCAGTGTCGTTGGCCCCTTTTTCTGGTGCGCCTACGACCAGGACGACGAAGATCCCACTCTGCGTTGGTGTTATCCTCTTTCCTTGAATCGAGAAAGAAGCGTCAGCAGAACTAATTCAACTGTCCAGAAATCATTTTTCGCAAGTCCGACGTCCGAAAGAAGGGCAAGACGCGCGGGTGGGAACTCATGCTCTCCCACTGCTTCAGCAACGGCATCACGTCGGGCTACGTCAAGGGCACCCCGAGCTCCGATATCGTCGCCGCCATCCAGCACCTCACCTTTTGCGCCAAGCAGGTCGGCCACCCGATGCTCCTCCCCATCATCATCCTCTCGCACGACCTGTCATCGACGACGGACCAGAAGCAGCGCGACGCGCGCGACTGGCTGCGGAAGCTGGAGCACGCCGTCAGCATGCGCAACGAGATTGAGGACGAGGAAGGGTATGTCAGCCAGGACGGGCACCTTGAGGTCGACGCCATCAGCCGTGATCTCGTCGAGTGTCATAGCCAGGTCCTCTGGAAGCGGCCGCAGGCGTATCAGGCTATTGTCAAGGAGATTGACGCTGGGCTGGTCAAGTTTAAGGAGAAGGTGCCGAAGGAGCACGATACGCCGCTCATTGATAAGCTTCACCGGAGCATGGTGGCGCGATTGCAGTTTTACAGCTTGAAGTTGACGGGCATCGAGAATTATCAAGCGACGACGTTGGAGAGGTTGCACATTCAGCGTAGTGCGGTATGTTATTTTCGACACTCTTTTCCGGTTCACTAGTTGATCGAGGCAAAATATTGACGGTTGAGACAGCTGTATAACTTGCTTTCCCAGCGAGAGTCCAAGATTCAGTTCCAAATGGCTGGTGAGCAGCGGCGACTGGCGCATGCCAGCAAGCGGGATAGCACGGCGATGAAGACTATCTCGCTACTTGGTGCCGTTTTCCTCCCCGGCACGTTTCTCGCGTCTGTCTTTAGCATGACGTTCTTCGACTTTGCCAAAGGTAGGTGGTGCAGTCTTCTTGTCATATTGACACAGCGATCTCGGCATAGGGAGCTAGGTTTTTCTATTCAATAAGGATTTTGTTTGCTAACTTTTAGAGCAGACGCGGACCCTGTTATCTCCAAGGAGCTGTGGGTGTACTTTGCAATCACCGTGCCCCTGACAATCTTCATCGTCGGCGGGTGGATCGTGTTTGACAGGCGGCGCGAGGGCCAGTTCGCTGTCGAAGACGCCGATCTGGAAAGGAACATTGAGCACATGGAGGCGGATATCATGGCCATGATGAGAAAGCGGACGATGAGCAAGGCGAATACATGGACGTCAGTCACGTCGCCCATACGGCCATGATGGGCGATGGGGTTGCAGCAGCCTTGTGAGAATGACTCACCATTGATGAAAAAGGAAACCGAGAGAAAACGATTTAACATTCTGAAGAGGTGGGTATATAGATGGTGGGTGGGATGGTGGATGGATTTTGTGTAAACTATCGCTATCACGCCTTATGACCTGACGACATTTATGAGCGAGTCATATTATATGAAAATTGAAGATATACATATATAACCTTGGTATATGCGGGCTGAGCATTGAGTGACCAGATTATATGTATCCGTACCTTCACACCAGATGAATCTGAAAGATGAGGTGAGCCAGGATGAACGCGAGTGCGAGCATTAGTTTGGCCCACGCGAGCCGGTGCGGCCCGTCCCAGATAATTATGCTCGTAGGGTGTTAGACACGGACACAGGGACACGATGAAAGAACTGGAGATTCCGAGTAATTTCAATTGGTATCGTGGATACAAACAAACTATGACTAGTTACCACTATATTGATTTTATGAGCAGCAATTTAATAGAGATGGCGATTGAAGCTGGAGGATACAGGGATAATGTTGCAGACGAAAAGACCCGGCACTAACAAAATGAGGGGTTCGATTTTTGGCGGGGTTGACACTATCGATAAGAAGGGTCCCAGGGGTTGGGTTCGTTGCGGTCAGGTTCTGAGCTTGGGTTCTTGCCTCTGTTTCTTTACCGCTAGAAAGAACCCTGTGACGACATCCCACATCTTCCATGGGATGGGGTGAAAGGGGGGACTGTCACTGGACGCCTCAGCTCACCACTTCCCAGTCCTTTCCCCGCTACCTCACAAGCTGCTACGATTCGATGCCCAGTTCGAAGAGCTCCAGCGAGCTTTATACCGGTCCCCTGGATGGAGAGAGAGAGGGAGAAAAAGGAGAGCCACTCAGCTCCAGCCTCTGACCGTATCCCACCCTTGCCAAGCTGAAACGTAACTGGATTTTCTATTTTTTGCCCAAGCGGCGTAGCGGGTCAAAAACAAGATTGTTCCTCCTCTCATGGCGTTTGATCCCAGGTCCCTACTCCGTACCCATGGGCCATCACCACGACTGGACCTCTTTTTTGCTGGGGAAGGGAGCTTGGGGCGCGGGTTGACGTACTGCCCACATATTCACAGTAGGACGTTCGGGACAGCGAGCCGAGTAGGTAGGTAGAGTAGCTTGGCTTTTTGGATTGACTTACGTAGCTCCTGTAGCTTCTCAACTTGGAAACCTTCTTTACCTTTTTTTTTTCCCCTGCAGTATCACAAGCTCGCGCTACCTATGCCTAGTGGCTGATTGATACCGGGACACGAGACGCGGATTGTATCTCGTGGTTCAGCTTGCATCAGCCATCGTCTCACCATTCTTATTCTCTCACTCTTCTTCATCGCAAGCCTCTTCCTAAACACCCTTTTTGCGTCTTCTCTCGCCTATTCTCGCTCTCCTCCTCCTCACCGCGTCATCAAAGTCATCACCACGCAAACACAGACCATGGCGGACACAACGGCACCAACAGCACCAGCACCGGCACCGGCACCGGCAGTGCCAGCCGCAGCGGCAGCTCCCCCTCCGCCCCAGGGTACCATCGTGTCCGCAACATCGGACCCCTCCAAGCCCTCGCTGCGGTACCAGGCCGGCGGCGGCGCCAGCGAGACGGAGCGCACCGTCAAGACGCTCGGCGACTCGGTCATACCGCACCTGACAAAGATCTTCAACGTCCACGCCGGCCAGGACGACAAGAAGTGGCACAAGGAGCAGATTGCCTCGTTTGTCAAGAACGTCCAGGCCGAGGAAACGCCCGAGTGCCTGGTGGCCAACACGTCTGAAGCGTCAGCATCACCAGAGGAACTCGACTTCAACGGCTTCCTTGACTACATGACCTCGTCCGCCTCGGCCATCACCCACCCCGTCCACGAGGAGGACCTGTCGTACCCGCTCTCGAGCTACTTCATCAGCTCCAGCCACAACACTTACTTGACGGGAAACCAGCTGTACAGCGAGTCGAGCACCGACGCCTACAGAAACGTGCTGGTGAGGGGTTGCCGGTGCATCGAGATTGACGTCTGGGACGGCGATGATTCGGACAATGAGGATGGTACCTCGGTGAGTAGCAGTGATGAGGAGACCGTTGCTGCGGCTGCTACCTCGGGTCAAGCTAAGCCGAAGAAGGAGAAGAGGAGCAAGCTTGCGATGCTCAAGGATAAGATGCCCGGTTCTCTGGCGAGTAGGCTGGAGAAGACTTCGTTGGGGAAGAAGATGGATGAGAGGATTGAAAAATCTACGAGCCCGCCGACGGAGACGGCTACCGCTCGGTCAGCCGGTACTGCTGCCTCTGCCACTCCAGCTCCCGCCTCTGTCCCTGCCACCGGGAGCACTGCTGCCCCTGAGAGCACTACCGCTACCGCTGCTGCCACACCGAAGGAAACGTCAGTCGGAATGGAGCAACCGCCGCTGCAGAAGACTCCCTCGCCGAGGATGTTCCCCATCGAGCCCCAGGTCTTCCACGGCTATACCCTCACTAAAGAGGTGCCCTTCCGGCACGTCTGCGAGACGATCCGCGACTACGGCTTCCACTCGGCTGACACGCCCCTCATCGTCAGTCTCGAGGTGCACTGCAGCGCCGAGCAGCAGGAGATCATGGTGAAGATCATGGAGGACACGTGGGCCGGCCTGCTCGTCCCCACCCCCGACGTAGACGCCCCCGAGCTGCCGCGCCCCGCGGACCTGATGGGCAAGATTCTCGTGAAGGTCAAGTACGCACCGCCGCCGATTGCAGGCGCAACCGACGCACAGGAAGACGACTCGGAGGAAGACGGAAAGACCACGCCACCGGCAGCACCACCAAAAAGCAAAAAGGCCGCGAAACCCTCCAAGATCATCCAGGCGCTCAGCAGGCTGGGCGTCTACACCCGCGGCGTGTCCTTCAAGTCCCTTGCGCAGCCCGAGGCCTCGATGCCGACGCACATCTTCTCGCTGTCAGAGAAGGGCGTCATGGAGGTGCACGAGAAGCAGGGCGACGCGCTCTTCCACCACAATCGGCACTACTTGATGCGCGCGTATCCGTCGGGCCTGCGCATCGGGTCATCCAACCTCGACGCGGCCGTCTTCTGGCGGAGGGGCATCCAGATTGTCGCGCTGAACTGGCAGAACTGGGATGAGGGGATGATGCTCAACGAGGGCATGTTTGCGGGTACCAAGGGTTATGTTTTGAAGCCCGAGGGTTGGTTCTCCTTTTCTTCCAGTTGTCTCACGCTTTTGGCCTCTTCATACCTCGCTATCATGAAACACCCAAGCACGCAAAGAATATTGAAACTGACATCAATCCACAGGATACCGATGCCTCAAAACCGGCTCAACCCCAGACCCAGCATCACCCACCACCCCGCAAATCACCTACAAAACCCTCGACCTCCAAATCGACGTCCTCGCAGCCCAAAACCTGCCCCTCCCGCCCGGCGACACCCGCATCTCAGGCTTCAAGCCCTACGTAAAGGTCGAAATCCACGTCGAGTCCCCCGAAGAGCGCCTCCCAGGCGCGCACATCAAAGACGACGGCCGCGAGCGCGAGAGCGAGTTCAAGGCCAAGACGAAATCGAACCGCGGCGTCGACCCGGATTTCAAGGGCGAAGCGTTGCAGTTCTCCGGTGTGCCGGGCGTGGTGGAGGCGTTGACGTTTGTGAGGTTCACCGTTAGGGACGATGAGATTGGGCGGGATGATTTAGCTGCGTGGGCGGCGGTGAGGTTGGATCGGTTGAGGGCTGGGTATCGGTTCGTGCATCTCATGGATTGCGAGGGACGGCTGACGGATGGGGTTGTGCTTGTGAGGGTTACCAAGAAGTTGACCTGAGTGGTGTGATTCTTCTCTTGAGAGGGGATGTCGTGAATGGAACGAGGTGTTTCCATAGCATAGCATGATGAGCATTGAAATTTGGAGCATTCTTATAGGGTTGTGACTTTCACTCTCCCCCTTTGTACGGCTCACTTGTCATGGGGGTAAGTTGGTCCCTGCTGTATTTGGGATGGACTTGAAGATGGTACAGCTGGGCCCACCGTACATATCACCTGGCCCAAGTAAGCTCCGAGACCGAAGAAGATCATGTACTCAACGCGGATTACCAGGCACTCATTAAAGGTCACTACTGCTCACTTGCGGGTATTGGGATGAAATACGAGAGTAGTGTTCAAATGGTATTAATATCTCATTCAGAGCTCGCTAGTACATAATCATCATCAAAGATGAGAGAGGGCTCCTACACAGGAAGCATCCTCTTCAAGACACTAATATTTTCCACCACCAACATTCCGGTACAAACCACGAGAAAGCTACTAGAAGCACCTAGTAGTCATCGTTGTTGTTTCCGTACCCGGCGTTCTCCCGCTTCGACTGGCCCTTGGACTCGAGCTTGTCGCTGTTGAGCAAGTCGCCCGCCTTCTCGAGGAACTTGCCGACCTTGCTGTCGCCGCTCTTGTTGTTGTTGTTGTTGTTGCTGCTGCCGTACGAGTCAGAGGTATCGTTGTCCCTGCTGCTGCCGTACGAGCCTGTGTTGCCAGACGATCCGTAGCTGTTGTCGTTGTCGTTGTCCTTGCGGGAAGAGCCGTAGGAGCCCGTGTTGCCGGAAGAGCCGTAGCTGTCCGAGGTGTCGTTGTCCTTGCGGGAGGAGCCGTAGGAGCCAGTGTTGCCTGACGATCCGAAGCTGTCGTCGTTGTCACGGCGGGTGGTGGAGGAGCCGTAGCTATTGTCGTTGTCGTTATCCTTGCGGGAGGATCCGTAGGAGCCCGTGTTGCCGGAGGAGCCGTAGCTATCCGAGTTGTCGTTGTCGCGACGGCTGGAGCTGGTGTTGCCGTACGACAGAGAATCGCCGCCGGCGAGATTAGAGGAGGTGGAGTCGTCTCCGTAGGACGAGCTCTTGTTGCCGGAGCCGTAGGAGTCGTTGTCTGTCTTGCGGGACGAGCCGTAGCTATCAGAGGTGTCGTTGTCCTTGCGAGATGAGCTCAGGCCCGATGAGCCATAGCTGTCCGAAGTGTCGTTATCACGACGGGTAGATGAGCCGTAGGTGGAGTCATTGCCGCTGCGGCCAGTGTTGGAGGAGCCGTACGAGTCGTCATTATCGCGGCGGGTGGAGGAGCCGAAGCTGTTGTCGTTGTCGTTGTCACGGCGCGAGGAGCCGTACGAGTCCTCGTTGTCGCGGGTGGAGGAGCCGAAGCCGCCGGTGGTTCCAGAGGTGCCGTAGCTGTCCTCGTTGTCCCTGCGGGAGGAACCGTAGTTTGACTAGGGACGTTGTTAGTGAGGGAGGCTCGAGTATTGTGTATTAGGTGTATCACTTACGTCGTCGTTGCCGCCGTAAGACATGATTGCTGTGTGAAGATTGGGAGGTGGTTTTTGGTTGTAAGATGAGTTGGAATGGGGATGATGATAAGATGGTTCTATAAATTATAATGGCACTCGATCAGATTGAGGGGTCGAAGCGTATTTAAGAATCCAGATCAACTTCAGGCTGTGCCATGATGCCAATTACACTCTCACATGCGTTGGACCCTGTTATTCCAACCATCCCCGTAGGCCTCTCCGGGACCCTCCTCGATCGACAAGGCAGTGGTCGATCGAGCGAGGGTCGCACGCTAGGAAGACGCACGTTTACGCCATACCTGGCACCCCGTCATCCGCCTGTTGGGACTCGGGAGTTGGGGGCCAGGAAAGAAGGAACGAGAAGTGTAGTAGGAAGCTTGTTTGGTCACTCAGAGAAACCGGTCTTTGCCTTGTCTAGCTGAAGGGGATGGGGACCATGGGGTGGTAATTTGGGAGACGTTGGACCATGTCGCGCCACTTGGCACGTCAATTGGAGAAGCGCTTGCGGTATGCGTGTCCTAGGACCAAGGCGGACTAGGCCAAGATGTTGTCCCTTCAGCTTTGGAGGGGTATGTCTTAGATGGCTAAGCGGGCAGAGCAGGACCAGGCTGCGGGATAGAACTGTATGAAAGTGGACTATATCCGACGAGATCCTTGGTTTTCCCCTCCTGTGCGGGCGAAGGAGAAGAAAGGGTTCACGGTCAGCCCGGCAAGTATCGTCATGAGCGAGAGTAAATGCCGTCTCTTGCGTCTTGTCGTGGGTGAAGAATTGATAGCAACCAAGGCGTTAGCTATCATCTCGAAGTCTGGTACAGAGTTGCTTGCACGGGTAAATGGCACCTGGTCCACCGTTATGTCGTCATTCCGGAGACACATCTACGCATCCCTCGAACAGAAAGGTGGGATCGAGAAGTACCATCCAAACGGGCGTACTGGAACTTGCAGTTGACGTGTCGGCAGCGCCAACGTGCCAGCGGTGATGTGCGAGCGAGCAAGGCACGCAATAGTCTCATCCGCAGGAAAGCCGGTGACACTCCTCTTGATGTCTCTGGTCGTCGTCGTACGGGTACCCCACCACAGCCAAGGTAGGTAGGTACTCAAGGTGTCGAGCTCATAGAGCTTTGGCGGCACTAGCTCTGCCAAGAAACCTGATTTGAGCAAACATGGGACGGTACCAAGAGAGAGCTGGCGTCTTTTTCCTGCTGTAGTTGCACATTAGGTAGACCTGCCCGGTTTTTTCGGCATGGCATCACATTGGTCTGGAGCTGGAGACTGGAAGCAGGCACGTCGGGAACCGGTGCTTTGGTGTGAATTGAGACGAATCGGGCTCCCTCCCCCCCGTCCCTTTTCGCCATGTTCCCGTCCATTTCCTTCCCCAAAGTAGCGGAAGAATGGGACAGATGGGACTTCCTACCATGGATTCGGCGCTGCCGGCGACGTCAACTGGAGCCCCACCCGTGCATCCAATGGTTGGATGGAGACGGTGGATCGGCCTGGACTCCGGTACAGCGGTACCCCACCCGCCAGCTTGACAGGGGTAACTGCGCGCTCTCAAGGTGCAGAACTCGCTCCCAACCAGTGCCAACAACAATTACAACACCATCACCAGCTGAGGTTTGCGATATTACCTGCAGCTGGGCTAACTGCGTAGCTAGTCCAACTGTGAGTCCACGTGCGCCCGGCGATTCGACGGACCCCGGTCAGAGAGGAGAGCTCCCGGCGCGACGGCGTCTTTGATTTGGCTGGAGACGATATCGACCTGTCTTTGTTGTAGACTGTCGATGAATGTCGTCTTGGAGCTTGGCTATTTCGAGACAGCCTACTACCCCGCGATGTCTGGAGCTATGACTTGTCGTTGGCGCGTTTTGCGCTCCTGGCGGCCTCCCGCAACGCCGACACAGGCCTCTCATTTTCCGTCCTTAATTGAATGTCTCTCCTTGAGTACTTGAAGAAAATCATTGCAGACGCTATTTGACGGAGTAAAAGATCGAGTCTTGGATACTCTGCATTGAAGATCATGGCTTCATTGTCCAATGAACTTGAACGTGTCCGAGAGAGGTGATTTCTGACGACTTGTCGTTAATCTCATACAAGCTCCAAAAGCGTTATCATCATTATCATCATCTCCTAAACTATCACACCTCCGCCATATCTAAACATTGAGAACATTTTTACCTGTTGAAGAACAACCCACATATATTGCCGCCCCATTCCACACTATACTTATATTCAACAACTCGACGCGAAGATGCACCACCACATTTCATCCCCTGAAGATAGCGAAGCAAGGGACAATAAACTCATATTCCCTAGCCCTACAGGCTGCAACGATCGCAATGCTCATCATCTAGCGCAATCCGGGCATAGCTCAAGGGCACTAACCTACGTAAGGCGTGCAGATGTCACTCGCCCAATGTCCGAGCATGCATGTTAAGGCTGGCATTCACACCTCTGGGAAGCATCTCAGCCCTAGTAGCTTTTTGGGATATATCGGATGCCGAGATGGCCCCCTCCAGCTCTTGGCACGTACAAAATCCGATCATGGCAAGCGCGAAACTGCGCAAGATGACGGAAGACGACGTTTCATTCGACACGAACAACCTGCGATTATATTGGGCGTTATTACAAGAGTCTCTATACTCTTTGATTAAAACATAAGCTTCTAGATTAATGGACCCTGTATTAGGATCCTGGCCATAAATGTCAAAAGATCTCTACTTCTAAACAGACATGTAACACGAGTACATAACAGCGCCCATGAAAGGATGGTCTCCGACACACTCGACACAAACATCAACGAAGAAGGAGAAATTTAACGGAAAAGCTATGGCTCTATGTAGAGCGTGGCACTACTCGGGGTCCGGTGACCTGCCACTTGTCTATGGACAAAACACTTTCTCTTCTATCCTGTGAAGCAATTATCACTACTTTCTCTCTCGACAATAAACTTAGTAACACTTAGCGGTTATGGCAATCATTAATATCCTGCCGGCTCCGGCTTGACCGGGAAGGCGGACGCATCAATGTTCCCACGGCACTCGTTCTTCCAGTCAATAGGTGTGTACCTGTCGACAATAGACTTGAAAGCGGCCTGGGCTCAGGTCAGCTACGCGCAATCATCTCACAAGCGGGGTCTGGAAACTTACCAGAGTACAAAAGGACTCATCGCCTTCAAGATGGTTGCCGGCAGCCTTGCAGCCGGGGATAGTCACCGGTTCGTCATTGTACCGAACCCTCACATAGTAACCATCTAGCTGCTTCCTCTCGGCATCTGTCAATGCGGGGGTCGGCTTACGACCAATGCCTGGCGGAGCCGCACCAAGCGCCGTTGTGCTAGCACGGCCGGCGGAGAACCATGAGCCGAACCATCTCCCATTCTTGGGTGTTTGCGTTTGACTCGGCGGGACCTTGGAATCGCGGAACATCTCAACAGCGACATGGCTTGTGAAAGGAGGCCATTTGTCTGGACCAAAGGCACCCAGGCTGGCTAGTATACCCGCGAGGGTAGTATCGTGGCAGCCACTCATGCCAAATCTGATAGGCTTGGGAGCTTCAGCACTGGCTTGCTTGATCTCGTATGCTCCGTCTGCCGGACTGCGTTCGACGCTTCCGACCATACGAGCAACAATATCGCCCATTAAGCCACCTATGCCAAGCGTGCGATACTCCTGGCTCTCGCCGTACCCGCTATACCATTCTTCTACGCCAATTCTCTCGATGATGGAAAGTACCTTGGGATCGTAAAACTCCGAGGGTAGCTTCGTCTTCGGGCCGTGTGCGCGTGATGCATTGATGGTATCCATGATACCGCTCAACCTTGGCTTAGAATCGACTGCGATGGGTTGACCCTCTTCCATCCATTTCCCGAGCTTCTTATTCAAGTAAGCCATCTCTGGAGTGTTGTTCCATCGGTCGGCAGTCCGCTGAGCGAAAGCACGAGCGAGAATACGAAATCGCCGGCAGTGGGTTTCGTTGGGAAAGAGAGTCTCGTCTGGTGGTACGCGCCCTAGAATTGTGAGCGCGGGGAGATCAGGAGCCCGGTGCCTGGCTGGATATAGGCCAGAGATGGCTTGTTGGAGAGACTCCAGAGCTCGCGGGACCGGCGTAGACCTAAGGTACAGAGACTCCGCGTCGGTAAGGTCTGCAGGCAAGAAGCCGAGCCGATCGATGTAGAGATCACGAAAACGTCTTCCAAGGTGGTGCGTGGTTTCTCGGCCGCGGTCCGTAAGCATGCCATGATCACAGATATCGTCAAGCTCGCCATTGGGGCCGGTAATGATTACGGGATTGTCATGAGAAGCGAAACCCTCGAGACGCCTCTTCCAATCAAGGTATGAGTATTTACCGGTGTCCGGGTCGAGAACAGCATCTCGGAGGTGGCGAACGACACTGCAATAGGGCCAGTACTCTGGAAGGCCGGTGTTGGAGAATCGAGACGTGACGGGAGTTCGTTCGCCATGGCGGAGGAGGATCTGCACGAGCTGGAGCTTGAGCTGTGGAGGGTACAGCTGGCGCAGCTCGGCGTCGGTGTAAGGTTGGCGAGGTTCAAGGGTAGTCATAGCTTCGGAGATTACTCTACACGGCTCGGATAGATGGAGGAGATCAGGGAGCCCGGAGGAATGTTTGCGAGACGAGGCCAGCCGGGGGGAGCACAAAGAGTAAGCTCAACAAACAGGGCAATGCATGGGACGACGACAGTAGTGACGGAAGGTGGGAAACGAAGCTCGAGAACTGTTTTGTTTGTGTTTGTGACAAGACGTTGGGGAATCTGTTTGGCGAGGCGGTTTGGTCTAAGCCTCCTTGAGCTACCCTGTCCTTACCTGGATGCTGGATAATAGGTAGGTACTTTGCCTCACGTACTGCATGCTCCGTACGAAGTCCTTGCAAATCGCAGACGATGCACTGGATTTCGCGGGGCAGGGGGGGCGCCATTGAAGCCCGGCCAACATTCGGTAGCAGACGCGGCCGCGGGCGGGTGAGGCTTCCATTTCCATTGGGTTGGCAACTTGGCCTAGCAATGACGTCCCTCATAGGTACAAAGATACCTCGGGAGACGCAGGTGCAGCGCGGGTAAGGTCTCTAGCTGCACCTGCAGATGTGTCTGGCAATTAGTGGGGCGATAAGAATTCTTATCTGATAGAAAGGCCAAAGTCCAAAGTCCAAAGTCCAAACAGCACTGAGGCTCCAGTTCCGTCCGTGGGTGAAATTAAAAGCCACGAAGCGCAAGGTAGAAACGTGCTTTGTGCTGGCTGGCTCGGGAGAGATTGCTGCGTCGGGCGCACCGCATATCAGCCCAAGCAAAGAATCTGGAATCTGGAATCATCATGGAACGTCCAAGCAGGCCAATCTGGATCCTCGATCCTCGAAGTTTGCAAGTTTGAGGTTACCATCAGGCCATTCGACCGAGCTTACTTTTGCTAAGAACACCTTATATCCGCATGTTCTCAGATGCCCGAGGGTATGCTTTTCAAGCACCGTACTCAAGTATCAAGGCGGGAAGGCATCTTAGGCGAAGAGACATAGATACCCATCTACTTGGATCACAGTTATGCATTCATGGTGAATCGACGATGGATGTTTATGTCGACACATGTGACATTAGTGTCCTCCCTGTCGTCCTACACTCCTGTTACCCGTTGGTGCTGATAGCATTTCTCCATATCCCCTCCACAATTATAGGCATCAGAGTCAACCAGCCAAATCGACAAGACGAGCAAGCCTGACAGGCTGGCTTAGGTTGGGCCGATCGACATGGCAATGCCGGATCATCGGGTGCCGCAGGGTCCGTTGCTGCCGGCCGACCAAGTGGGTCATGGACATTGGCCAATGACGCAGGTTCCAATTGGTGGCTAAGACATGGTGGGGCAGAAGCTAACACTCAGACGGCGCATGTGATTATGTCAGTGGCATTACTCTGTAAGGTACCTTAGGGGCAGAAGAAATAGGTGGGCAAGAAAGAACCTTGGGAAAGAAGATACGCCCGCTGACTACTACACCTAAAAACAAGCATCACTCGCTCAGTCAATGAATCGCAGCCTCAACCTGGACGCGGGACGGGGTACACCCATGCGATTGGATCGGCCAGAGCGCCCCTGATTCAAAACAGCAACGGCGGAGAAGAAGACGAGAGCGAAGACGAAGAAGGAAAAGAGAATGTCCATGGCTTCTTCCACGTCCCACACACTGGCCTTGACAGAGCAAAAGCACAGCTGTCCGCGCAACGACCTTTCATTAACTGCCCTTACCCGTGCCTCTCTGACAGAAAGGACGGTCCGGTATGGCGAAGCAAATGTCGGTCGAGCGCGGAAGAAACAGCAGTGAGATGAACACACAGCGATCTCTAGTCTAGCCGCTTTCGACATTTGGCACCGCGAGCCTGAGCCCCTTCCTGACAGCGATCTGTACGATGTACGACCGAGAAAGGATGCCCCTGGTTCCCGGGCGAGGGAGGCGCAGCTCTGTGCATATCAGACTTTTGGTCTTTAGCACCTACCGTCAACGCAACTACTACGGTACGCAGCGGGAAGAACATCAGCAAGCTTCCCTTCCGTGCTCCAGTCTTCCGGTTGTGTGTATGTGTGTGTTGGCTATTACCCACACCTCGGACTGAGGCGAGGGTGGTGCCTTGCCTTTCCTCCATCGAGTTTTCTGTCAAGGCAAGGCACGCACGCACGTCAAACGTAAGGTACATTCCTTAGTCCTTATGGATAGGTAGGACGGGAACAAGTGGACACACGTGGGTTGCCCTCCGTATAGATACGCGGTTAGGTACACTGCTTTTCTAAGTAGAAAGGTACGGCTACCTTACGCACCTTACTACCGCTAGCTTCTCTTTCTTATATCACCTACGCGGTGCTTCCCTTACCCCTGCTCCAATTATCTGGTTCGTCATTGCCGTATCTACATCTTTTCAGGTCGGAGTGTTGTACTTAATCATCGTTTCTAAATACCACCATCTCGTCACACACACAACCTAAAGGCCCTACACCTCAGCAAGGCACATTTCTATCCTTTCCCATTTACTGGGTCACACAGCCCTTGTCCCAGCTTTTCCCCAGACTTTTGAGGTCCTCTTTTACCTCGCCGTGTCGGTTTTCGCCTCTTGTTCAGGTCAATCTCCCGTACTGACCTCGGTGCAGCATCGACTGGGTGTCCACTCTCACTCTTCCCAAAAAGGCCATTGAGCATGTGCCATTGACCTAACACCCGGAACGCCCGGCTGCAAATTGCGACTTTTATAACTCTTATACACCCCGCGATTCAACAACTTGATTTCTCAGCACGTTTGACGGGAAAGTTCACGATGGTGGCCATGTCTCAAAAAGAAGGCGTTAGTGAAAGAAGGAGGTCTCCGTCTCCGACCCTAGAAAAGGTCCCGTCTGAAGATCCGGTTTACGGTGACGATGACCAGGATGGCGCCCAGTCCGTCATGCAACCTGCACTGAGTGTTGCTGCAACTCGACTCACTCTACCACAAACATCTAAAGCTGAGAAGGCTGCTGCATTGGAGAGAGAGAGGAAGTCGTCCGGGCTCTTCCTACCTGGCATTACGAGTAGTGACGATTCCGCCAGCTCGCCAGAACTAACGCCCTTCCCCGATGAGATCCCTACCAATTTCGAGACCGAGTCGGACACACCCATCTCGCCAGCGCCGCCTCGCAGACGAGAGTCTCAAAAGCTCCAAAAAGCCAGGCCAGCCCCGAAGGAAGACCTGCCTTCACCATGGCAGTCAAGTCCACGGAACATGATATTTGGTGGTGGGGACGGTGAAGCGCCCAAGAGCGCTCTCGAATCCGTCTCCTTTGGTCAAACTAGACACAAACGCTCATCATCTACGGGAGCCGATGCGCTCAAGAAGTTTTCGAATGCTTTCTCTTCATTCCCGGCTCCTTCAGCAATCTTCAACTCCTTATCTTTCTTTACTGCGGCCGCAGAGAAGGCGGAACCGAGATCGACGACGACGACTGAACAGCGGAAGTTTCCCCTGACTCAGACTAGAAGGCCTTATAACAACACAGCTGCCATTTCCAGCGGCGCTAACGGCCTTCCTCGTGCGCACACGATGGCCAATGAAGCATCCGGTAATCGCCCCTCCGTATCATCTGGGAGACCATCTACCACAAGACCACGCGTTTTGAGGCGAGTTACATCCGATGACTCGCTTCTGTACCACTCACTATCCCGCACATCTTCAATCGGGGATGATGATGGCAGGTTCGATCACGTCAGAGAGATGGCCAATGTGAGGATGAAGGCAATCAAAGACAGTCTGCCCGAAAGACCGACGTTCAAAATGCCAAGCCTACCCAAACTTGGATCGTCGCTCAAACTCAACGAGGACGCAACGGGCAAGGCCATCCCCGAAGCCCCGGCACCCAAAGTTGACAATGACGGACTCTCAACTCTAGACAGAGTGCTGGAGACGTTGACTGGGGACATAGTAATTCTCGGCGGTTACCGTGGCTCGATTCTACGGTCAGCAGAGCCTCCGCATCACCAACTATGGGCTCCGGTCAAAATCGGACTCAACATGAGGAAGGCGGACTTGGAAGTCGGCCTTGACCCCGAAGACGAAGAGTCAATGGAAGAGCGCATCATTCCATCAGGCATGCTTCAAAATATCGGCCCCATCGACATCTCCAGAAAGCTGTTCAAGAAGATTGCCGCCTGCGAAAACGTTCGGAAAGGAAAGTTACGTTTGCATGATTACGGCTACGACTGGAGACTGAGCCCTCACTTACTATCACGCAAAATGGTTGAGTTCTTGGAAAAGTTGCCATGCAACCAAGGAGATTCGAAAGAGCCCAGAGGTGCTCTTGTTTTAGCCCACAGCCTTGGTGGCCTCATCACCCGCCACGTCGTCAACCAGAGACCGGACCTTTTCTCAGGGGTGGTCTACGTCGGCACACCTCAGCGGTGCGTCAACGTCCTGGGACCCCTCAGAGACGGCGACGCAGTCCTCCTTAACGAGAAGATCTTGACTGCGCAGGTCAACTTCTCACTCAGAACATCCTTCGTGTTTCTGCCCGACGACGGCTTCTGCTTCGTCAACAAGGACACGAAAGAGGAGTATAATATCGATTTTCACGACGTAAACGAATGGATCAAATATCGCCTCACGCCATGTATTGAGCCTCCGCTGCCCCCACTAGTACCAAAGGAAAAGTCTACAACATTCAGCTCTCTGTTATCGGTCCGCAGTCGCAGCTCAAGCGAGAAGAAACAAAATCACGTGTTGCCGCAATCGATAACCGACGCGGCCCGGAGAGTAGAGCACGTCCGCGAAGGAGGAATCACCCCACAGATAGATGGCAACAAACCATCACCATTTACAAAGGGGGCGTCTGGCACACCAGCGCCCCCTAACCGCGCCAGAAACATCGCCTATCTCGAGCGTACCCTCGCCGAGGTCAAGCGGTTCCGTCAAGAAACACAATTCAACCCGGCTCTATCAGAGGCCAACGCATATCCTCCTCTCGGCATCATCTACGGCAAGGAAGTCCCCACGGTCTACGCCGTCAAGGTCAGCAGCCGTGAGGCCATCTGCCATGCACAAGCC